TTTTTTTTTTTTTTTTTTTTTTTTGTCTCCCAAGGCTGAAGGATTTGAACATTTTTATACACAAAAAATAAAACATGGAATATTCACACAATGGACTGCTATGCAGCACTTAAAAAGCACAAATCAGAGCTGTAGAAATCAGCAGATCTCAGAAGTGTGATGGTAAATGAGCACAGCAATCTGCAAAATGTACCTACTCTATGATGCCGTTTAGGTGACTTATTTTAAAACACTTGTCCTGTATTCATGCATGTAAAATTGTAGAATGGGGTTCATAAAATGTACAGCAGATTCATGATTGTGGCTGTGTTTTGGAAGTATGAAAGGGGCATCAGTCTGGCATAAAGGTTAACGTGGAAATGATGTTTATGTAAAAATTTTAGCATATAAAAATGATACAGCAAAGTAAACAATTGTTAACTGAGAGTGTTGTTAGGTGTTTTTCATGAGTTATTTTTCTTTTCCATGCTTCTAAATATTTCTCAATTTGAGTCCTGTTTCTCAAATGCAAACAAAATAAGTTATGTCCATGTACATGCTGTGACAATGAAATCAGTTCTACCAGAAGTTGCAACTTTCTTGCATTGCCCCCATGTTCTCTAGTTCCAGAAGATGACACCTCTTTACCTAAGGAACATTGGCTGTTCAGAAAAGCTCACCTGTCAACAACCTCCAAAAGTATAGACCAAAGATGAAGTGTTGGTATTAGGAAATTAGTCTCCAGTTAATAATCTGATATTGGACCAGATTAAGGTAGAATTTGAAAACTCCCTGTGTTCTTACAAGACAAATTTCTCTTCCTTTTATATTTTCTCTGTTTAGGATTTTCATTTCCATGAATAGTTGCTGTCCTCTATGAGAACCAGAAGGCCAGGAAGAATGTAGGGTTTGGTAAAAGTCTGTTCAACAGACTGGAAAAGATGCATCTCCATTTTCCAGCCAGCAAAAGGCTGATTTCTTTCTGGATATAAGAGAAAGTTATCTAATTTGGTTTTCTCTCCACCTGGGAGGCAAAAAGAAAGACAATTCTAAACCAGATTGTGTGTATTAGGTGCAATGGGGAAGATATTAAGATAATATTCCATCTGCTTGCCCCTCCTGCAAACATACACAAGTGGTTCCCTGTTTGCATATTTTCTTCCTGCTAAAAATCACTGGATCTGTGGTGAGCAAAATTGTCCTCATATCAGAATGGAACTCTGAAAGGTGGAAAATTGTAATAATATTCCTCCTTTTTTTCTCTTTCTGATGTGACAACTTGCAAGGACAAAGCTTCATACATCTTACATTGCCAGACAACAGGCTACTTCAGCAAAAGCTGAAGTGTAAAGAAAAAATGTAAGAATGACAGGACTGGGGTGTGGTGTGAAAGCTGCATGTATTCAGGTTTTAAGCACAAAGTAGAAGAGAATGTAGCCCCAGTTTGCAGTGTTAATAATTGCAACTCTTTCAAATTAATGTTATCTTTAGGACCTATCATTTCTTTCTAGTGTCATCAGTGGCTCGGTAATTACACTATTTCCCACTGGTTCTGGATTCTAAATGCAATAAGAAAACACAAAATGTATCCCATTTGTTTCTCCCTAGCCCACAATAAAACCCAAAGGGCATGCCGCTTGCTTCTTCTTAACTCTCCTATCGGCTAGCGTTAAAGGCCTTTTGATATTTCAGCCTGGAGAGGCAGTTGAGTTCTTTCTATCCTCCTGGATCTCAATAATCCCACTGAGCTTCCTTCAGCCACCTGTTACTCACCTGCCCCCTTCCCCTCTCCCATACCATTTAATTGGTTGCTTCCTAATTGCTGACTCTTTCTTTGCTCTCCATTTAATGATTCTTTTTAAAGTCCATAAGGCACTTTGCCAGCAGTTGGCTATTAGTATGAAAAGTAGCATTTCCTTAATGAGTCTGCCTTCCAAATGAAGGCTTTACTTACATTTTGCTAATGGGAAAATGAGCTTTTCTTCTACACTTGCTTAGGGGCTTCTCGAGTTCTTTCTCAGTAAAGCATCCTTAGCTCCAGTTAACTTGGACACTCCACTGGACACTTCCTCCAATTCTGCCTTTGATCTATATTTTCTTCATGTGTAAAACATCCAGGAGGAAATCAATGAACAGGTGTCAACTGTTAAAAAAAAAAATACATTATACGGAAGTGTTGCTACTATCAAAACTAGCAGGAGCTAACATGCATTCTGCACATATTGTGTGCCAGGTATTGTGCTAATTGTCAGACATACCTTGTCTCCTTTACTCTGTCCATGAGCCATATTTGTCACAGGCATGAAATTGTCTCAAACCATATAGCTGAGCTGAATTTTCAAATATTATTTTGTATGAAATTTAGATCTTTGCCCTTTTTTTGGTAGATCTGAAGATCTGGTTCCGGGCCTTTGTTTTTACTCAGCAACAATCTCTTCTTCTGTCTGAGCGCAATTACCTCTATTAGATGGTGCTAGTGTCACCACGGTCCTCATAATGCATTAACGTCATATACCTGGGCAGGTTCACTCATTTGCATTACCTGCCTGGCTCTTACGGACATGTGAGCTTGTGGCTTCTGAGGTAGGCACTGTTATTTCCCCCATTCGAGAGGCAAGAGGTTAAGTAACTGGTCCAGAGCCATTGTCAGTATCAGTTTTAGGATGGGAAACCAGGATGTTGCCTCTCCTTACCAGTTTCAGAGAAAGTAAGATTCTTTACCATTATGTTTTAGAAAGGAACAAAGCCATGAATATGCATTTTTTTCAGGGATTTTTATCTCTCAGACATATTTAATTTGAGCTTGAGAGTGGTCAACAATTATTGAGCACTTATATTGTGAAAATACTTTATATATTGAGTTAATGTACATATATGATACATTTATGTAACTAATAATTAAAGGTGTATTATATATGTACATAAATATTACATGACATATATATAAATATGATACCATAAAGAGATATATATACACATAAATGTGTATCATACATGTAACCCAATACGTAGAGAGTTAAATGGATGTATATCATATTTAACTCTCCTTTGAGATTAAGGACCATTATCATCTCCAAATTCAGGAGAAGGAAAAAAAGAAATATGTTTAGAGATTTCAGGAACTTTCTGGTGTGGTAAAGCCCAACCCAGAACTTGCTCCATATACATCATAGCACCTTCCAGGACATGGGGAAAGAGAAAGCAAATGCATCTTTATTTTTTTTTAATTAATTAATTATTTTTTTTATCCTTTTTGTCTTTTTTACTGACCGGTAACAGGATTGCAACCCTCAGTGTTGTGCCTGCACCGGGGACCAGCAACCAGCAACGGGATCGCAGCCCTCAGTGTTGCACCTGCATCGCGCTCAGCCAGTGAGCAGGAACCGGTCTCCACATGGGAGCCGAACCCTCGGCAGGAGCGCCGCCACACTCCCAAGCAGCGCACTCTCCAGTGCGCCACCGGGCCGGCCCGCAAATGCATCTTTATGACTGAAAAAGTTAAAGTTGTTGTTGGGCACACAACAAAAAAGAAAGCTTAAAATTAGCACATTTTCTAAAAAATTGGAGGTTCACAATAAAATATTATTTTTATTTTTACATTTGTTAAATAAAGCATTGCTAACCTGATTTTAAATTTTTTTCACACTTTGAAAAATATTTTGGGGCCAGCCCAGTGGCGCACTGGAGAGTGCGCCGCTTGGGAGCGTGGCGGCACTTCCGACGAGGGTTCGGATCCCATGTGGAGACCGGTTCCCGCTCACTGGCTGAGCGCGGTGCGGGCGCAACACCGAGGGTTGCGATCCCATTACTGATCAGTAAAAAAGACAAAAAGGAAAAAAAAAGAAAAATATTTTGCTTTTCTACTAGGAAGTCCAGGTCTGCTACTGATGAGGCCATGTAATGGGTTCTCCTGTTCCTTGATGTTTTATTATTTCTGAAAACATCATTTTCAAGCACAAAAAATTTCTACTGCGCTGATACGGATTAGGTTAATATTTTGGCCATAGTAGCTACTCAAGATACCATATTTAAGGATACCATTTATTTTTCTTTCCTAGATATACAGCTAAAACTTCAGAACCTGTTTTGAATGACAATGAGTATTTCTGCCAGGATAATGTAACTGGAAGATCCAGGTCTGGGCAGACTCGATCATGGGAGCCAACACTTCAAGCAAACCACCGGTGTTTGATGAAAATGAAGATGGTAAGAAATGTGGGCTAGTAGATTGATTCGGCCAGCCCTTTTTCTCATGGGGTTCCTAAAAAAGCAACACACCCAAGGGATAGTGACAACTGGGAAATGAGGAACCATAACTACCTTCAAGGGACTCTGGACAAACTAGGTTGGAGGAGAGTTAGGTTTCAGGACCAGGCAAGTCTTTCTTAACACCCTTCAGGTCCCTGCCTTACTGTTGTCCGGCCCCTCTGCCTAATGAGATGAGCCTCCTGCAGCCCCCCTATAAAGGGAAGAGCTAAGCACAGCAACAGATCTGCACCTGCCAGAGGGGCTAGGCTCTGAGTGCATTTGCACATGCAGTTGCAAGGCAGCAGGAGGTAGAAGAGCAAGCCCACCTCCTGTGAGCCTGTCACTCTGGGAATAGAGGAGGAAACAAAGCAGTCTTTGCTCTGTCCATGTTCTAACAGCGGAAGGCAGACCATAAACAAGTAAACAAATACTAGATAACTTCAGACTGTGTTAAAGTAACACCAAGGAGATGACTCTGAGTGATCTTACGGAGAGTGATGGAGTGGTTGTTGGGAGGCCACTTTAGCTGGGGTGTGGTCAGAGGTGGCCTTTCCAAGGAGCTGACATCTGAGTTGAAGCCTGAAAAATGAGAATAGTTGAAGCACAGGAAAAAGCAAGTCCAAAGTCCAAATGACAAAATTGGGAATGAATAGTTGCTTATATCATAACATGCTCAGTACGAGTTTATCAAAGGGACTGTATTTAATTGACATATTATTTGTTTACAAGATCATTGAGTTTTGGGGAGGAAAAGTATGTCACTCCCAGGAATTTACTGTTGTTTTTTAATTCAGTAAATTTTGTAAAAGGTTCATTTGGCTCTTTGCATAGCTCTGGATTGAGTACAAGGTAAAATTTTATTTGATTGCTGTGAAGCTTCTGATAAAAAAAAAAGTGCTGACTAATGAAAGAACATTAATGCCTATATCATTTTTGATATCTATATTTTTGTATAAATAATCAAACTGGGCCAAAATCTCGGGCACTAAAATGAGCCAATTTAATTAATTAAAAAATACTGCTGAAAAGAATCCCAATATGTGGTGAAAAATGTTTGATATTTCCTTCCAATTGTTTAATATTTTCTGTATATGAGGGTGCTGTAAAAAGTTCATTGAAAAAGGGAATTAAAAGATAGTAAGAATCTTCCCATGAACTGTTTGAAGACCCCTCATATAGGTAGGAGAACATTTAACTAATTTTTCCAAGAAATATTTTGAGATTTCTTCCTCTTGGAAAAGCATTTTTGTTCATTTTAAATGTAACTTAGGAGTAAGATAAGACATTATTGGCTGTCTCTTGAGATAAGCTCTCTTGCTAGAAATTCTTCCTAATACCTGTATTTCATGTTGTTCCATCTGCTATCTGACCTTGGAAGAATCATTCTATTAGTTACTTCTGTTTGTCTTTATTTAATGAAAACAAAGTATAAGATTTTCAGTGCTGTTGAACAGAATAGGGTTTGCTTATTTGATTACCTTTAAGTCATCTTTTACAAATTAGATCTCAAATTACACTAGTTTTTTTGTGTGTGTGTGGTTTTATCTTTTATATTTTAGAGCAAACCTAAGTCTTCATTTCTTTTCATTATTGTGGTAAAATATGTATAACAGAAGTTACCATTTTAACCATTTTTAAGTGTACAGTTTAGTGGCATTAAGTGCATTTACATTGCTCTGCTACTATCACCATCATCCAATCCAGAACTTTTTCATCCTCTGAAACTAAAACTCTATACCCATTAAATAATAACTTCCCCATTTATTCCACTCCCCAGCCCCTAGCAACCACCATTTTACTTTATGTCTCTATGACTACTCTAAGTACCGTATATAAGTAGAATTTCACTACTCTAAGTACCTTATATAAGTAGAATCATAATAATATTTTCAGCAACCACCATTTTACTTTATGTCTCTATGACTACTCTAAGTACCATATATAAGTAGAATTTCACTACTCTAAGTACCTTATATAAGTAGAATCATAATAATATTTTCATTTTGTGTCTGGCTTATTTCACTTAGTATAATGTTTTCAAGGTTCATCCATGTTGTAGCATGTGTCAGGATTCCTTTCCTTTTTAAGGCTGAATAATATTTCGCTGTATGCATATACCAACGTTTTCTTATCTTTTCTTCATTTGATGAACATTTTTGGTTGTTACCACCTTTTGGCTATTGTGAATAATGCTGCTATAAACATTGGTTTAGAAATATCTTTTCAAGTCCCTGTTTTCAATTATTTGGGGGTATATACCTAGAAGTGAAATTAATGGATCATATGATAATTCTTTGCTTTACTTTTTGTTTAACTGTCTTCTACCTAATTATTTTGTGTGTTTTAATAATGGGAGACAGCCTAGGATGATGGGCTATGACATTGGAAAGGCATGCACAGGCTCACATATCAGCTGTGCCACATACCAGCGAAGTGTGTTTTCATGAGAACAATCAAAGTAGACAGAGCCTTATCAACCATTATCAGACACTAGAGTCAATATGACTGATTACAAAGTGTTCTTAAGGGACTTGGGATACGATGAATAAAGTCCCCAAATCTAAATAATTACTAATGAATTAATTTGGGAAAAGATTTCTATTGTGCAAGTTATTTAACCTCTGTTTCTCCATATGTAAAATGCAATTAATAAATGGGCATATTTCATTGGATCATTGTGAGGATTAAATAAAATAATGCAAGTAAAACACTCAGCAGTGTCTCACATAAACTAACCAAGCAATTAATGCTAATTCATAATATTATTTACTAGCATCAGAGTCTCTTAGCATGAACTCTTCGAAGGACTTCAACTTCTGAAAAAAAATTGATTAAGTACAATTTTGTTGATGTCAAGGTCATTATGACCTACTTGCAATTCTATCAATTGAATTGGATTGATTTTATTAATTCTGTGAAAACCTATATAAAAACCCTTTAGAAGAAGCCAAGTTATTGACTGCATGAAAACACTCTCTCATCTGGTTTCTCTTTTATCCCCTTTGGGTTGATTGGATTTTCATTTAAGGCAAAATCAGGAACTCAATGGGATGGTAATCAATGAACTTTACTTTTTCTGACTTAAGCCCAAAAATTGACTACTAAAGTATTCCATTTAATCAATAGACAGTGAAAATTGTCCCTCACACCCAACTACCATATGGATATTCTGAGAAATAATTAAAGATGCAGAAAAACACTTTGAGTTTTCTGAAAGAAAAGAATAGAAGTGCAAGTGATACTTGTTTTTAACATTCATAACTTTTTAAAAAATTAAATTACTTTATTTCCTCTATCTGAATGCAGTGAGTTTTTAAATTTTGTTTTTGTTTTAGATATTGGTTTTTTGCTTGTTTCATTTTTTAAAAACCCAGCATTTTAAAAGTCCAATCATTGAGGTTGTCAGGCTGATTTAGAGAAAGAAAATCCTTAATAATAGGAAAAAATTGACTTGTTTACAATTCAGGGTCGGGGCAACAGGAAAGGGTCTTGCAATCATTATAAGTAACATGTGTTGCCAAGCATATACAGAGTGTAAAGATGAGAAAGTCGGCTTAGTTAAGCCAAGAGACAAACTTTTTCTAGAGCATTGCAGCTAAGAAAAGTTGGCCTTAGGTTAAAAAGCTGCTCTAAAGAGTGCATCAATGCCCTGAGTTTGCAGAGAGAGCTCAATTATTGCATTATTCTTTGGACTTGCTGAAAACTCAATGTTCTACTTTCATTTGGCAACACTCGTCTCCTAGGATATGTGGCTGTTTCCAGTTTTCCAACATCTTCCAGTGACAGAGGCAATGGGGTCCTTCAAAATGTTGGGCCAAGAAAATTGGCTACAGATTTGCAATCCAAAAGAAGAGGGAGGTAACTGAATTGGTTCCAGCTATGAAGGACTTTGAGAATCTTCTTTGTTATTTTAATGTCTGTGCATTGCGTATTTGTACCCATTTTCAAATCAATGTCAGACTTTTCTCTATCAGACTTGAGTAATGTGTTATACTTATTATTTTGCATTAGAATGATTGGAAATATTAAAGGAAAATTTCTCTAGCAAGAATTGGCTTCTGAAAAAATTAAGTCATCTTGGACAGTCTAACACTTAGTAAAGGCATTTGTCATAAACAACGTCAGGTCCAACTGCTTATGGCAGCATTTTTAATTTAATGAAAGAGTCAGGGGGAAAAAAGCAAGAAAGCCAAGAAAACAGACCTCAAAGTCTGATCTAGTGGTTCCAATTTGAGTGTTCCCTTGCAGTGAGTTATGAATACATGTTTAGGAGAATCTACTCAAACACATTTAGGAACGTTACATCCTGTCATTAGAGATTCACAATGCTCATTAGCATATTAAACATTCTGAAATGACTTACATATTGAAATCTCAGTCTTCTGATATTTTTCATACTTATTTCAAAAATAAAATCATTTTTGTGAATATCTTTTTAATACCTTGTGGAACATAATATTCTGTGGATCTCAATTAGGGAAATGAAAGGAAAGGTTATGATCATATCCACTCTTATTGAAAACATCTTTTCTTCCATTGGTTTTTCCCACTGGTTTAATGGCAACAAAGTTTTATATGTGAAATATTTTAGTATAATTTATATGAAAATAACATAATTTTCATTTTACATGATGAACAATGATTATGCTCCTTTGCAAGGTTTCTTTACAAGTTCTTCCTGTAGCACAATTCAGGTTTACTCCAGTTAATGAGTAAAAGGTAGCTCAGTTTAGTTCTGGGATGCTGGATGTTTCTAGTTGAGGTAGGAGTTGGATTTGGTGAAAATTCATTGCTTCTTTATTATTTGTTTTTTAAATCAAGAACATTTTCATTCAAAGAGTGTCTTATAAACAAATTCTGTTGAAGAATAAATTGTGTACGGATTTCAAGAATGCATTGCTCTGTGATTGTTCTTGGAAGTTTCATTTGGAAACACAAACATGAAAAAGCCAATGATG